AAAGGGTAGCTAATTAAAATTTTAAATATTGAAAACACTATGACCGTTTGAATTTTTTTTTTTTTTTTTTTTTTTTTTTTTTTTTTTTTTTTTTTTTATAATTCCTTGTTTCCATTTTTATAATGTGGTTTTGTTTCAAATTCTTCCATCTGTAATTCGGGTTTATCAACATCAACATTCTTATTTCTGCTAAATCTAGTTCGCCAACTTGCAAACCATTTTCGCCAACTTGCAAGCCATTGGTCAAAATTAGCAAACACATCTTCAGATTCAGATGGTTTCTTTTTATGTTTTTTCGATCCTTTACTGTCTTCAATACTTGATTCATCATAATCATCATCATCATCCGACATGTCCTGTACTATGTCTTTTGCTTCACTTAATAATAACACACCATATACTAAAGCAGCAATTCCGACAGCAATTAGGCAAAGTGCCCAAGCAGGATACTCACTTAATTCATCAAGATAAATCATTGTGTTGACAAGACCCATTGTAGTATAAAACCCATAAAACATGGGGACCACCAATACTGTATCGAGTAATTTCAAAGCGGTATTAAGACAAAAAACCTACAATTATTTAGCAATTCCATTTATGGATTTGATATAAATTATAATTATAAAGAGTGAAATTTTAAAACTAACCTGGAATATTGCCGTAAACATTAGGAATAAGAGAATAAACCAACTTAATTTATCGGTAAATTGACTCTCATGTTCAGAGATGGACGAAGAAACTAATTTGACGCTATGAAAACAAAATTACATTTTAAGTAAAAATACAATTATATATAAAATACAAAAAAATGAATAAATAAAACAAAAAGCATACCCGCTTTTAGCCAAAAGTAAAGTTTGACTAGCAAGTAAACCGCCAACTCCAGCCATTGTCATACCAACCCAATTTTGCAATCGAGAAATTTCAATTCCACTAAAAAATCTATTTTTTTTTTTTATCTCTGGATTATTAAATATCCAATAACAATATATGGCACAACCGAAAAGACTAAAAGTTATTACATTGAGTATAGAAAAATAAATAATGAATAAGGGGCGTAACATTAATTCTTTTAGTTTGTTTAAATCCAAATTATCTATTATTTCACATTTTAATTAAAATAATCATAAAATTGGAATAGTCATGAGATTGAATGAGAATAATAAAAAACCGCAAAAAATATAAATTTGATTACCTACCGTTATTTTGCTGGTTAATACCTCCAAAACCCACAACCCATATCACACTAATTACAATTACTAAAGTACCCCAAAGATCTTGTTTTGTAATTTTAGTTCCAACTAAAACTCTGGCAAATATAAAATTAAAAATCAAGGACACTGATCCAAGAGGAGCCACCCATTGCGGTTGAAGAAAATCTATTAATCAACATTAATGTTATAAATATTAATGTAACTCAGTCATTCTAATTTCAGAAAAAAAATTAAAAAACATACTTAATGCGATCGTACTCCCAAAAACTTGTGAAAGAATATAACAGTATAAACCAGCGTGCCATAAAGGTCTACCGCAATCATTACGTTGGTCTTGTATTGGCTTACTAGAATTCTTGACGTGATCCAATTTAAGTAGATTTATACCTGCTGCATCCATAATCGAGGCACCTATCGATACTAGAACACCTACTGCGAAGTTTATTATATCTGTTATTTCCATTGTTATTCTGTATGATATGGATAATATTGTAATATGAATGGATGAATTTATATCGATATACTAATTTATCAAGTTTTTTTTTTTTTTTTTTTTTTCTCGCGTTCCTGGAGAATGGGTTTAAAGAATCTGTAGTTACATCACTACTTTGTGAAAATTGCAGTTATGATTGTTTATTAATAAAATTGATAAATTACGAAATCCTAAGTTTGATCATTATCATTATGATGTCGAATAAAATCATTGTAATTTGTCGAGGCTTTGACAACGGCTTAGAATATTTAAAGTTAGCGTTAGCGTTAGTGGCAAAGTTTGTTAAATACCATAACTGATCATAATAAATTTATAGGGCTGTGCAATTATATCTTGAATTTTACTATTATATAATTTCTATGATTTTGTATGTTTTAGTAGAAATTTGATCACGGAAATCAAAAAGTTAAAACAACCGAAGTGGCAACAGTGCATAAAAATTTCTCTTTAGAACTTGAAAAGACCCGAATTTCTTTTCGTATCGTTAAATATATATTTAGAATGAAATGAATATATTCCGACTTTAAATATTATTTTTTGCCCCCAAAAAGACTTTATGTTCTAAACCAAAAAAATTCATCGAGAATTTGTATTTTGCAAATTTGTGGAATTAGATCCTTTATTAGAATTTTACGATAAATAGGATTTTTTACTACAGTAATTTTGTTTTAATTGAGAACTTGGACGGTACTAGCGAAAATCTTCAAGTGTAACGGTTTAATAAATTCTGAAATTACATTTTAATTTTATTACATGGAAGCAACTCGTTTTTATAGAAGCTAAATAATTTCCATGTGAAAGTAATAAGCTTCATACAGAAACAGGGAAAAATTACGTTTTTATACAAATATAATATTTAACCCAACAGATAAATTACAAAATTTTTCAATATGTAAAGTGTACTATTTCCTTCTAACCAATGTATATTAGAGACTTGTGGACTTATGAGTTTCTAAGGAATATGCAATTAAAGATTATATGAAGTCAACACTTTATCTGTAGATATGATAAAATATCATAATATAAAGATTCTATACGGTTATGGAAGAAAAAAAAGTTTTTTGAGCCCATAATATTTTTTTATACCGAATTAAATATAAAATTTAAAAACTTATTGTTCTTTACATTCAGAATTAGTTATTATACAGTATCTAGAGTCGACTGTATATCTGTATATTCTAGATCCTTTCTATATAACTGGGGTAAAATCGCCACCCAAAAAAATTTCGAAATCACGTGATATGTCATTCACATTTTGTGTAACGAAAAAGAATTTGATTAATCGTACGTATCGCATTTCTGCCATTATTATACTTATTACCGATACTATTAGAATTTCGTACGCTTTGCCATGCCAAATTTATTGAAAGACATTCTTAATAATTAAATATATAATTAATTATAAACGTACACACTTATAAGCGGTATTGGTACAAATATTAATTTCATCGAATTAAATATTTAGATACTTTCATCCTTTAATAAAAACTAACGAATTAGAATTACTGCAAATAGACAATTGTTCTTTATTTCAAACAGAACTTTAACATGATTCATTAAAGCCAGAAAGTGTTATTATTGCAGTTTTTCTATGTATTTGGAATATGATTTTGTCTTTCGAACTGTTTACAATCCTCTACTAATTTTCATAATGGTTCAAAATTCCTTTTGATACTATCAAGCCATTTGTTTGAATTTGAAACATTTTTTTCGAGAATATTTCTTGTTTCATCCAACAAATTAAAAATTTCTTTTTTTCGAGTTTGAAACAAGATTAGATCTTGATTATCATCAATATTGAGATCTTTTTCATTCAAATTAGTAACGGTAACAGTAATAGATTTTTGTTGCTCATAAACTTGATTTGTAAAGATTTCCTGATTATTAGCTTGCAGATTATCTTCATATTCGTTCCTCACAATTAATTCATAAGAATTTAAGTTTTTAACAATAGTATGAAGATTTTCGGGCAAATCAGCAAAGGCATTTTCATTTTTGACTTCCAACAAAGGATAATTCTCTTGACGTGTTATCTTAAAATAAACAAATTAATATTTTTGGTTATGTAAATAAAATAAATAATTGTCTTTTACCTTTCTAAAAAATCCAGACTCAACAGGGCCATATATTTGTACTAAGTGCTTACACAAATAAAAACAACTTAAAAGAAAACTTGGACATGAACATATCCAATATGATGAATCTGTAATATGAGTAAAGTTAGTGTTAATTATTTGCATAGCAATTTTTTCCATTCAAGCCTAAATTCTTCACACCAATTTGTCATATACTAATTATCATGTAATAATTGTAACCGATCGATTTGACGTGGTATAACTTTTGCAACAATAATATAAATAATTAAGTCTAGTCGTACTCAATTATAATTTGAAAAAAAATTATGCTTTAAGACCCGCTAATGACTTTCAATAGCCATTGTAGTTCATAAAACATTAAGCTTTGGACTCGAAGAACGAGCCCATAGCTTCTACATTTTAGGGTGATACCACTTAGACCATAAATAGGCCCAAATATGACGCAGATTATTTTTATAACAATATTCGTACTATTCCTTGATATATTCATTTCAAATTTGACTTGTATCAAAAAAATATAGCAGGTGCTCTATTGGTATTAGGGAATGATGCAAAAAATGAGTATGAACTATTTGAAGTATTGTTTCACGGAAGCTTTTTTGACAAAACAATTTTTTTTTCCTATCACTATCAATATTTGATAATTGTTCCTGATTTGTAATATTTGCGAATACTTAATTTTGATAAACTGGTTGCTATTCAGAATCAATAATTGAACAAAGTGAATGTGCCTCATGAGTATTATAGTGATTATGCACAATACCAGTGCTTGAAAGTTTTTTTTTATCACACGTATTACATGCCAGTAACATAATTGGATCCTTGCTTCAATCCAAATTTTATTAGCAGCCGTAATTTGTTCATGATCCTTATCCATTAAAATAGTTTCAACATTTCAGATTCTATTTTCTTTTAAGTGTAGAAACCATGTCGCAATTGCTTTTGTTTTATCATATTGATATTTTGGTTTGAGAAAAAAATATGACAAAGGGAATCCAGAACCATTTATAATTCTGAGAACTGTATAAAGTTCAAACTTCAAACAGTTCGTACCTTATGTAGAATCTACTACAATCGTTTTTGTAACTTTATTTGGCAATATGAATAGTAAGGGAGTTAAAAAAGCTAATGAGTGTTGGTTTTGATAAAGAAGTTTGAAACTTGAATTATTTTCTATATACTGTCGAGCTGATTCCAATTGATCATTAGCTAATCTATACTCTTTCGTCACAACTTTTTTAGACTAGTAGTAAACTTAGTGCTGAGTAATATGTGAAAACCCATCAAGTTGTTCCTCTTTAATATTATTGTAAAGTTGTGAAACCATTAATAGACTATTTTTAATAATGTAATCACGAATTTGAGAAGAAATCTCCATTGCTTCAGGTAGTGAATGAAGATAATGATAGATATTTACTACTGCCAAATTATAAATTTGATCTATATTAATCCAAATTGTACTACCATATTCATATCGATTAATTCTTGGCATTGTATCTCATCAACTTGAAATTTCAGTAACTCGTAATTTTTTACTTTTTAGCTCTTCACGACAATTACAATAATAAATGAATACACATGATTTTTTTGTTACTTGACATTTATGGTAAATTCAGGAAAACTTATCAGCCTTTGAAATAAGGTTAATTATTTGTTGCACAACGTCTTTGTTGATATGATCTTCAGAAGTTGAATCAACAATATCTATTAACAGTTCCAAGGCAACACAAAATACTTTTTCAAATAAATAATCATCAGAATCATAATCATCTGGAAGGTCATTCAAAATAAAATCTATAAGATTTTCTGGCGCTATTGCGTTTTCTTAATTTGTTGCTATGATTTCATTTTTTTTTTCATTATTTTTCATTTATTATTTGCAGTAACTTGAACGTGACAATCAATACATGTTTTTTTTAACTTCGTATCAGAATTTTTCTGTTTATTAGCTTTTGAACTTTCGAAAGCTTCATTTTGTTTGTCAAGTTTACAATGGTCGCACTTCATAACTTGAAAAAAAAAGAGTTACATACTATATTAACGCGAATTAAAATTAATATATATTTAATATCTGTCATTACTGCGGTACTGCATTGCATTAATTATCATGATGATCATTTTCACGTGATTTTCGAAATTTTTTTGGGTGGCGATTTTACCCTTGTCTTTCAATATCAACTGGCCAAATTTATATCACCTGGCCTGAATTAGCCCATGTTATTATTAATTTTGGCCAAAAGATTGCTTATATACTAAAAATTTTATTTATTCATTCTATAGCGATAGATATATGAATTTTTCCGTGTCCCTAGCTTCATATTATATAAATGCATGAATTTCGTATTAGTATCATATTCGTTATTCCAATATTCGCATTCAGCAAAACTTCGAATCAAATAATAATAATTATTTGATGAACCATGCTTAATTGGGGTGTTCGGTACACTATGTTATAAGTGGTATCATATAAAAAACCATTATTAAAGATTTTTACTTATGTACTATAATAATTCTTCGCGAATTTTAAATCGATGCACAACCCTAACGGCTCGATGGTTTAAGATAAAATTTTGTATCAACCAAGATTATGTCTCTACAAACAAAGCTATAGAGCCATTCCTTTTATTTAACTATGAAAAAAATTTAATTAAAGAGGAAGACTTTTTTTAAAATGGTGGTTTAAATTTTTTTCATAGATGAAAGAAATGGTTCTATAGCTTTGTTTGTAGAGACATAATATTGGTAGTTACAAAATTTTATCTAAAACTAT